TTTGGTAAATTATTAGAAAATCCTCAGTGGCGGTCCATAACCACCCACTATTTGGAATGAGGTCGCCATTTTTCTTTCGATTGGCAAATAAATTCTTTCCCGTGGATGGAATGGCGACCTTTGGTTCACAACCAAGCACCTGCTCGCGATGGAATAACGTGGCTGCTATTCCGTGCTCTATGTCTTCTTTACTCCAAGGAGACAGAATACAAAGGAGCAACCATCCAGAGGAAATATAAATCCAAGCTACTGCAGTAAGATTTCAGCTCCTGACTCGCCAGCGCGGTTGCTCGAGGACATTCTTCTTATAATCGCAACGGTTCCTCGTCGAATACATGCACATAATGATGATTATGATATTTTGGTACAGAAATGCATATCCCTTCAGTGTTAGAGAATAAAAATTGTGATAACTTTCCTTGATCATGTAGCTCTGTTGCATATCTGCCGGATGCTTAATAATCGTCCTATAAAGCCTCCATTTTGGTGGTTTGTCTCCTTCGCCCAGTATAAATTAATTTTTGCATCTACAGCTTCTAATCTGCCAGATTACAGATATGTCAGGTTGGATGGAGAAAGATACTGATGCAGGAACTAGTAGCATAATTTGGAGTTTCCTTATGCAATCTACTGCCATTAGATCGAGGGACCATTACGTAAATACGTTTCTCGGTTAGAGTGGCTTTCCCTCTGAGCTGCTGTAATATTTAAGGCAGCTTTTCAAAAATGTTTCGTTAATAGTAGTTGTAAAGCAGCGTAAAACACGGTATATTAATAAACAACGCGAGTAATAATATGGTCAGTCAGATGTTTTGGCGCTACCAACGTTTCATCACGTGTCTTAAGGGCCTTCTCAATGAAGGAGAAGGTTTGTAGAAGCTGCACATAGGCATCAAGGAAGTCTTAGTGATCCAGTCTTGCAACAGTATCACAGACCATACGTCAAAATGGATGAGACTTGTCTTCCATAAACTATTTAACCAGCAGCAGCAGGGACCAGAAGCTTACCTTCTGGCTCCAAACCGACAATCTCTGCGCAACAAGAGAAACCTCCGAAACTCTACCAATCTCTTACCTTGAAGAACGCTCTTAAGATGCAGACCAAAACATCATTATTGATCATATTTTGTATTGCATTGTTTATTTAATGCTGTTTTTCAGTATTACCACGGGGAACGAGCGAAATACTCTCTTTTTCGTTAATAATGGTTTAGTAATAATTTCAACATCAGAATTTATGAAGATACTGTTGAACATGCATTTAATGAAATATCTTACCAAATTATTTCCTTCACTAGATTTAAACCGTATTGTTTTCATTTCTGTTATTCTCCCTTTGAGAACTTTTGCCAGATATGAACCAAAGCTGTGGAATTATATGTTGCTCGAAGTTAAACACAATTTTCTATTGTTTTTAAGCAGTTCGTCAAGCTGCACTCGATAACGTGTGTGATTCGGCAAATTTAGCACTATTTCCATTCAACAGTTTCAGACAGTGTGAACTAAATAGAGGTTGAGTATCCAAAATCCGAAATGCTTGGGAACAGAACTGCTTCGAATTTTTAATTTTTCCGGATTTTGGAATACAGGATGTGGTGGAGTAGAAGAGAATTGAGAATAATTAAGACTTTCAGAAAAAAATTAGCACCGTAGTTACAGACACCTCGCACTGACAGTGTTTGACGGTTTACTGCATACTCATGACACAGCCGTGTAATGAAGCGGGACCGTCATGAGAACTTTCTTTCATTCGGTAAAAGCGTACCTGGAATGCAAGGGCATCGATGAATGGTTGACAGGAAGGGTGTTATGGCCGTTGTTAATATTATCCCAAGTATATTTCAAAAAACTCATGACTAAGAAGCTAGGTCATACAATGTTGCGGATATCCCATTTTCTCACTGGGAATACTCAACGTTTAGTGATGAATTTTGAAAATTTACCTGAAACTGTTTATAATGAATTAATGAAACCATAGCTCCGCCTTTGCCGATCCCAAGCCCGGATGAGAAAGAGGAAGGTTGGAGACCGCGACGAGGTCTCCGTAAAACCTAGCCACCTGCCCTTCATGGTATTGTCGTCATCGAAAATTATACCGGCTCAGTCGTCGCCCGTGTTACCAAGCTGTTCGAGGATTGAGGCAGCCTCCGAAGTGTCTGCGATCTGGACCTGCTCACCTTTTTCTGGCCGCCGGAGGCATAACAGCACAACAACAAAATTACGACTAAGATATCAGTCAGCAACAGAACCGTTACCCGCTCTGAACTGACGGCACGATACCATTATAACACGCCAGTAAAAACTCCACCCGAGCGATACTGCTAATGGGAGCTTACGGTGGAAAATTGAAATATATCCTTATTCAGAGGGAAGAAGCAGGAGCTCGTTGAGGAAACCGCAAGGTACCAACTCTATATGGTTTGACTCTCGTTAAAGAAGCACCAATGATTTGAAATTCTGAACCTCTCTGCGTGGATGCTATTCGACTCAGGTGTCGACATCACGACGCGCGTTCAGGCTGGTGTTGGTATTCTGATAGAATCGAACTTGACTTACAGAATCATTGAATGGAAGCCTGTCAACGGAAGAGTGGCAGTCTTACGGCTAAAGCGTTAACGTTCACCCTGTTACAGATCTATACCCCCAGTTTGGAGGGAAAATGTGAGTCCTTGCCTAAGGAGGTGGAGGTTGCTTTGCACGACATGCCGACTACGGAGTCCCTCGTTATAATGGACAATTTTAATGTGGTTGTCGGAGCAGACAGTGGA